GCTTTGCAAATTTTCTGGCCAGTCCTGGATACAGGGGAGGGTGAAGAATTGGGAACAATACAAGCTGTCCCTTGAACAACACGGTTTGACCCGTGCAAGTCCACTTACACACAGATTTTTTAAATTATTGACAGTATTACAGATGTCTTCCATTCCCCTCATTGTCCCCCTCAACCCAGACCTTCACCATAGGCTATGCATATATGCATATATGTTCTTTGGTTACTGTCTTCCTTCCCCCCACCCCCCACCCCTCTCCCCTCTGAGATCTGTCAGTCTGTTCCTGGCTTCCATGGACCTATTTTGTTCATTAGATCCCACATATAAGTGAGATCATGTGGTACTTGTCTTTCTCTGACTGGCTTATTTCGCTTAGCGCAGTACTCTCCAGGTCCCTCCATGCATTGCAAAGGGTCAGAGTGCCTTCATTTTTTAGCTGCATCGTATTCCATTGTGTGAATGTTCCACAGCTTCTTCTATCCACTCACCTACGGATGGGCACTTGGGCTGTTTCCAAATCTTAACTATTATAAATAACACTGCTATGCACATAGGGGTGCGTATATTCTTTCAGATTGGTGTTTGGGGATTCTTAGGATATATTCCTAGAAGTCGGATCGCTGGGTCAAATGGGGTTTTTTTTTCAATAAATACCTATAGTATTTTGATCTGAGGTTGGGAGCCTGCGGATACAGAGCCGACTGGTATGCATCGACCTACACCGTTTTATAGAGGGAACTTAAACATATGCGGATTTTGGTATCTATAAGAGGACCCATCCCCCTGAGATACCAAGAAACAACTTAAGTTTGGGGGGGGTCAAAATTATATGCAGATGTTCAGCTGTGTGGAGGGCCAGTGCCCCTAATCCGTGCATTGCTCAAGGGCCATCCCCACCTCCTCTAGCCTCTGCTTTCAGAACCAGGACATGGAATTTCTGTGTTGGATTCAGGGTTCCCACCACTGAGTGTCACTTCAGACCTCGACCCCTGCCTCAGACAGGGAGGGGCTCTGATAAGCGCGGGAGGCGAAGGGGCACGGGGGCCATGAGGACGACACGTGTGGTCTGATCACCACCACGTTCTCTCCCTAATTAAACCTGGAGCACCTGCCCTCTCCCACCTGCCGGGTCACATCTCCCCCGTGAACTCAATCCCCACCCACTCACCCCCTTCCCCTCGTGGAGTGGAAGGGGTCCACCCACTAGAGCCCCTGACTCCCACGAATGTCACACCTGCTGTAAGACAGGACACAGTCTTAGGGAAACTGGGGTGAACCGGACAATCACAGAAATGTCACGCCAGCAGGGACATCCCAAACCATGCAACCAGGTACCCTTTCCAGGTAGGCTCAGTCTAACTCCACACCGTCTTGGACATGAGCGTGTCTCCCTTGACCTAAGGGAGGCGAACATTTCATGGCCCCCAGAACAACCAGCCCCAGGATTTGATGACGGCCTCTTAGATCTATTCTCATTCCAATCCGATGCTCATTTCAGTTCCTCCTCTAACTGCTCCCTGAACTTGGAGACGCAACAGCCTCCCCCCCACGAGGCCACTCTCCGTGCCCGGAAGCCGCTGTCAAGACGCCTCTGCTTTCATGCCTTCCTGCCCTCGGTCCTGTCCCTCCCCGAGACCCACAGAGCCCACGACACGCTCCTCGCCGGAACAGCAGCGTGAGCAGCCTGGCTTTTGCCGTGAAGAAATGAATCATAAGCACAAGTCAACACGAGAATCCTGCAGTTCAGACAATTACCCCCAGAACACGTTTTCTGGTAATTACAGAGCTGGAAATGGATCCACTGTGCAAACCCCTTCCTTTCTCCGGAGAAAGCTGAGGAGGTGGTTTAACAACAGCCAGCTGCTGAAACGCACCGCGTTGAGGGGTGTTGAGGAGACGCGTTCCAGTGCGTCCTGCAAGGTACGCGTCCCAGAAGGTGGTGATGCGAACCAGACCCGCTAACCCTTCCCGCCGCCCCCAACATGCACTCCAGCTGGGACTATGAACTCAGCAGCCCCTGCAGAATGAAACAGCCAGGGAGGGGAAGCTCGGACCATCCTGCCTTGTGACTCCGCTCATCAAATGACACTTACTGAGAGACTGGAAGGGGCTGCTAAGGGGAAAGCCACCAGCCAAGGGTGACCCCAGCCGGCGTCAGCGCCAAGTGTGTGCTCAGGGATGTTGTAAGGAGTTTTAGGCAGCAGATAAGGGTCAGGATGATGATAAAAATAACGTCTAATACATGCTGAGTGTTTCTGAGCTAGATACACATGTATTCGCTCATTCAATTCTCCCAACTCGCTGAGGGCAGGGCTGTTCTTACTGCCCCCCCCCCCTTAGAGTCGCACTGAGGGTTGCACAGCTCATCAGGGCAGCGGCTGCAGAAGCCTTAGTACCCACCACCCCCCTGCACCACCTTTCGGATGGAAGGAACCAGACTGGCAGAGAGAAGACGTTGACGGGGTTAAAATGCCAACGACAAAGAGGGGAGGAGGCCAGACAGGGGAAGGAGTGGGAGGGAAAGTGGAGCTTACAGACCTTCTGTGGCCACAGCGGGTACCACACAGTTCAGCGTGACTGTCAAACACCCACACGTGAGCGGGAAGTGTGCTAAAATATACAAGTTGCGTGCGATGTCATGGACACGACTGAAATGACGAAATGCAGAAGTCATGGATTATCCCAGTGTTCCCAGCGAGGATGCAGACTGTCGACAGGCCAGGAAGCTAGCTTCGGGGGTCCCCGTACTGAGGAAATGTCTCTTGAGCACCATTGGCTACCACTGCTCTTCCTGCGTCACAGATGTGACAGTGAGCGGAGCAAAGTCATCGTTCCAGAACTCCCACTGTCGTGCGGGAGACAGGCCCTCATGCCCCCAATGTGTCTGTGAGCTACCAAATTAAGCCAAGAAACAAGACCTCAGTGGCCAGGCCTCCCGAAACACCAACCATTTGAAATTGCATTCAGAGAGAAACCATGCTCGCATCAGTGAAAACGGCCTGGGGGATCCAGGGCCCAGAAACAGACAGGTGACGAACTAACAGAGCCAAGGGGCGGATGGATGTGCTCCCACTAGGAGGACTGGGCAGGGTGAAGACGCCACAGGAAATGATGTAAGATAGCCGAGGGGTGCTCACCCCCCAGTGCAGCTCCCCGTGGGAGCCAGAACACCCTTGGGCTGCAGCACATGTGAGGAGGCACAGTTATAAGACCCAAAGTCTTGAAGTTCGCGTTTCATCCACCTTGAACTTTCCTCCCCAGCATTCCCCACTATAATGACAGCCATGGCTTTGACGGCACGGACGCGGCAGAGGCACAGCCTGGGAAGGAGCAGCCTGGGAGAAAGGAACAGGCAAACAACACAACAAGGAGCTCGCAGCATCGTTTCCTGCAGTAACGTGTCTCCGTCTCCGGTTTATAAAAACGTACGCAAACCACATGGGAACGTGCACGTGATGATGCTAATCCTCGCCCAGCCTGCATACTTCCAAACCCTTGGCTTTGACTTTGAAAGGTCCAAGGGTGTGCACAGCAAGACCTTGGCAGAGGTAGCCACAGGCCATTGCCTGCTGTCTGGCCAGTCGATGGCCAAGCATATAGAAGGATGAGCAAGGCAAACGTGGTGGATGCGGATTAACACTCTGCCGGAGAATTCGGGAGGGTCCACTCTGCACGGGGCAAAAAGAGCGACCTGGAGTGTGAAAGGCACTTGGAGTCTTAAAGAACAAACTGGAGAGTATGTAGTGACAGCTGGAGTGAGTTACTGGTGCCCAAGACATCATCTGAGAAAGTGACTTACAAATCCGTGCCTTACCCTAATACCAACTGTATCTGATTTCTTAATCATTCTTTATCCCTCGGATCACTAGGATATTCCCGTGTGCTTTCATTCCTGAGCACGCGCGTGCACACACACACACACACCCGCTGTGATACACAGACGTGACCCTCTAACACACTGAGCTTCCTGGAAAACATGAAAGGACAAGTAACCGCTGGAAAAATGATGAACTTCTTGGTGAAGTTCTCTCTCCCAGTGAAAGATATCACTACTGAAATATTGAAAACACGTCAAAAGCTTGCAAAATTCTTTCCCTTCTATCGGTGCTGGCCCGGCATTTGGTTTCTCTCCTATTTTCTCCTATAAGGCTCACAAACCTCTCGTGAGTTGACAGGCAGCGTTCCTGTGGCCTGTGGCCTGTGGCCTATGGCCCACCTGCTCTGGTCAGAGGCCAAGGATGTCCTTTGGCTCGAGGCTAGAGACACTGCTTACTTTACCTGGGCGTTGCTGTTCTCTATACTTTGCTGCAAACACACACACACACACACACACACACACATACACTTTCCTGACCGGAGAGTGACAGACTGGTCTCTCTGGTCCCCAAGCCATGTCACAGAGTTGTGCTACATACCAGGCTTGAGCTGCACCCACATACATGAATATGCGTGCACATGTGTGCTTCCTGGGTATGTTTAGGGCAGCTGTGACCCTCTGCCCATCCATTCAGAACAACTCTCTGAATGCTTGGCTCCCCCTTTAATAACACTTCCTACCCCACCCTCCGACACTCCCAACGAGGCTGCCAATCAAACTGCAAAGCGGAGTGGCAGGCTGGAACCTCAAAGGAAACCCATCATCCAGTTAAAAAACTTCCCTAAGTCGGGGTGGGGGGGGGGGCGTTTCTGCGCCCAGCACTGGCGGGAACAAAGGCTGAGAGGCAACGTCAGCTGAGTGCCAGCCACCGTTGCGCAAAGATAAAGAGCAGCTGAATCCAGCCAAAGGGCACTTCAAATACCCAGTGCCATCCTGCCACTTTGATTGATGGCCACCCCTTCTAATTAGTTCCTCTTGTCTCTCGCAGCTTCCGAAGAGCCCATCGCTGGCGTCCACCGCCCCGTGCCCCGCGTCACTGGCCGCCTGGGAGGGAGGACGGGAGCAGGCACGGAGCCTCGCCCGTCACTGTGGGACCTCGCGTGACCGCGGCTCTCGCACTGACCTTTCGCAGGAGGAAACAGATGCGCTCAATGTTCCTCAGCCGCTCCCTCTATCAGGATGCACAAGAAAGAAAGGAGAGGGAGGTTAGAGCGAAAGAAGCCCCCACGTTCAGCCTCCGAAGAGGAGGCAGAGCCCCCCGAGCCCCCCCCCAGATGGCTTGCACGCCCCCACCGGTGGCTGCTCTGTCTCCCCTGTTACAGCCATTTGCTCTCGACAGAACTCCACCAGCAAACAGTGTGGCTCAGCTTCCCTCGCGGCCCAGCAGAGGTGCCTGTACTTTTTCTACAGGCAAAGTCTCTTCAACTTCCACGAACCTGTAAGATGGCCACACCGCTGACCAGGGGCCACGTGGTCACTGACCCCTGCAGCCTGCGGGCGCCCTCCCAGGAGGACTTCCCACGAGGGGATCAAAGAGCACACGTGCCCCAGCTGCTGTCTAAGGAAGGGAAGTTCTCTTCACATTGGCTTTCTTTTTCTAAAGTGAGTTATTTTTTTTCTTTATCCTCACCCAAGGACATTTTTCCACTTTTTGTTCAGATAGAGTGGGAGGGAGAGAGAGAGAAACATCAACATGAAAGGGACACATCGAGTGGCCACCACCCGCATGACCCAACCAGGGCCTGGGACAAACCACAACCGAGGTATGTGCCCTTAGCAGGAACCGAACCTGGGTCTCTCTGGACCGCAGGCCGACGCTCCAACTGCTGAGCCAAACCGGCCAGGGCTAAAGTGAGTTATTTAAAGGAAGTATTCTCCCCACTAAATCAGACACCAGCAGCGCCCCTGGGCTAAGACTTTTCAAGATGTCCAGTTCATCTCCGGGGCCTGGCTCACGGCCGAGGGCAGGTGCCGGGCTGGTGGCGGCCTCCCCTGTCCGGCAGTGACTTGGTTTCTGGAGCCACTGTGAGCACGGCTGTGGCATCTCCCATGTTCATTCATTACCAAGCCCACAGCTGTGACGCGGTGAGACTCCTCGGGGTCTCGAGAGCACAGGTGGCCAGGGCACTTCTATTTCCCGAGCTGCGTCACGAATGCAGTGATTCCTGTGCACCCTTTAGGCCCAGAGGAAAGAGCCCACCTCAAGACAGATGAGTGTCCACATGGCTAGGAAGAGAGCTCACGTCCTCAATGCATGTGCATACACGTGCACGCAATGTGTACACGCAAACATACACACAGAACCGAGCATCAAGGCTGCCTAAATGGAGGCTAATGGGCAAAGGTGTGGGACGCCAGGCGCAAACCAGGCTGGTACGGGACACACACCATCTCCTTCTCCAGCAAGCCAGGTGCCCTGAAGGACGTCTCTCATCGCTTCCCAGTGACACCAGATGTCCAGTGGGTACAAGGAAGGGGAAGGGCAAATGAGAAACCAGGAGTCAAACAGCATTCCTCCTCCTTCCCACCTCCCGGGAGGGGCCCACCCAGAGGGTCAATGACATCTGCAGTTTTAGGGGGTCTAAGCTCAAAGACCCAGCGGGCCTCATGCACGTTCATTTAGAAACACACCCTCCGTTCGGCAATTGCTTGTAACGCAGGTTCTCCTGTGGCTGTTACCAGCCAGTGAGGTTTCAAGCCAACGGGTCCTGAAATGCCACCGCAGGGGCTCAAAGGGGCTTGAAGTCAAGTTGAACAAGGCATCCAGCGCATTTAACTACCTGCTAGGGAGTCACATCATAAGAACTGGGAAAGTGTATCAAATATCCTTCCATTTAGGGATTGTTTTAAAATCTCAGACAAGAGTCTTGCCCCCGTGGCTTCAATCTGTCCATGAGATGTCCGGCCTTCAGAGCCCAGGCTACTTAATTAGTTCATTAACTAATTAGAAGTGTAGTGTAGCTTTAATCACAGGCGTAAGGAATTGAGTTCCAGCTTCAATGCTACAGAGCTTCACCTTCCAACATTCCTTCATTATTTTTCTTTTATTACTCACTGGAGAATATGTTTTTTTTAATTGATTTTAGAGAGAGAGATAGGCGGGGAGGGAGGCAGGGGGGGAAGAGAGAGAGAGGAACATCAGTGGGAGAGAGAAATATTGATTGGTTGCCTCCCATATGACCCCGACAGGGGATGGAACTTGAAACCTAGGTACACGCCCTGACCGGGAATCGAACCCTTTTGCTGAATGGCCAGAACTCATTCATTCTTTCATCAACAGTGACTGAGTGCCTCCTGTGTGCAGGTTCTGCTCTGGCCCTGACCTTTCAGCGAAGCTCCGTGGGACTTGGGCTCGTCCTCAACCCTTTGATCTGTGTGAGCTAAGAAACGCCACGGCGAGAGGAAGACAGGCCACGACAGTGCCTTGCGGTGTCACCCCCCACCTGCAGCCCGGCGTGCAGACAGAATCGAGCGGCGCACAGAGTTCTTCACCAGCAGTTACCCTGGGATCATTCGAGAAGGCTCTGGGTGTCCTCAGCGAGCTGTTTCTAGTCTCCGCCCACAGCTCGGGGAAGGGAAGCGGCTCTGGGCTTCCCTGGGATCCAGGGTGGACGCGCCCTCCCAGACCAGAGCCGCTCCGTGCACCTGCCAGGTACCGACAAGCCGGACGCGGAATGCTGGCGCCAGACACAGAAACATCCAGGAAGGAATGAGGCCTGGGCTGCCCTTCGGGTCTGGAGGAGCCAAGTGAGCACAGGTGGGTAATGAAAACAAAATGGGTTTTAATGATACGTTTCGCAAAATATAGTGAGTTTAGTGGAACTTGGGGATTCATTCAAGCAGCAAAATTCTGCTTTGCACATTTGACTTTGAAAAGGTTTGTCTCACCTGGCAGGTTTGCTCAGTGGTTGCAGTGTCGGCCCGCGGACCAAGGAGTCGCGGGTTCGATTCGGTCAAGGGCAGGTACCTCGGTTGCAGTGTCCCTGGCCCTGGTCGCGTTGTGCGGGAGGCAACCAGTTGGTGTGGCTCTATCACATCGATGTTTCTCTCTGTCTCTCTCCCTCCCTCCCTCTCCCTCCCACTCTATCTGAAAATAAGTAGAAAAATATCCTCAGGTGAGGAATTAAAAAAAAGAAGAAGAAAATGTTTGTCTCTATTTCGGAGAATCAACAGATATGATGCGAGGAAGCCTCAGGTATTATAAAATCAAGTCTCTTAAAGAGACGGCATCGAGTAGATGATAAGAACACAGGCTCTGCCCTGGCCTGTTTGGCTCAGCGATTAGAGCGTCGGCCTGCGGTCCGGAGAGACCCGGGTTCGGTTCCCGCTAAGGGCACGTACCTTGGTTGCAGTTTGTCCCCAGCCCTGGTTGGGTCGTGTGGGTGGCAACCACTCGATGTGTCACTTTCACGTCGATGTTTCTCTCTCTCTCTCTCCCACTCACTCTATCTGAACAAAATATCGAAAGAAAAAAAAAAAAAGAACACAGGCTCTGGGGACAGGCAGAGCTGGGTTCCAATCTTGACCTAAGAGCATTGTCCTTCTTCAGGGGGGCCTGTAGCTAAGAACAGACTCTTTGGCCCTGGCCAGTTTGGCTCAGCGGTTAGAGTGTCGGCCTGCGGTCTGGAGAGACCCGGGTTCGGTTCCCGCTAAGGGCACATACTTCGGTTGCAGTTTGTCCCCGGCCCTGGTTGGTCGTGCGGGTGGCAGCCACTCGATGTGTCCCTTCATGTCGATGTTTCTCACTCTCTCTCTCTTCCTCTCTCTCCCTCCCACTCTATCTGTACAAAAAATGGAAAAATATCCTCGGGTGAGGATTAAAAAAAAAAAAGAACAGACTCTTTGTCCCTGTCACTAAAGAATGTTGCCATAAGCCTTCCAGGTTTAGGTGGCATCACACTAGTAACTCCTGGTGTTCTTGCTACAACTTCCAACTGAAAAGATCAACAGAGCTATTCAAACAAAAGCTTGCCTTAGCACAGGAAACCAGGGCCTGGAAGGAACTTCAACTAAACACAGGCCGCGTCCTTTGAGCCTAGCAGGGCTGGTCTAGAGAAGGTGTGGAAGAGGCTCTGTCCACACGCATGGTCGGTCCCTGGCTCTGGGACATGAGCTGGCGTGACCAGAGGAGCAGACAGCCAACACCCATGCGCTCAACACAAGTGCCGCCCTCCTACTTCCCCTGCATTCACGCGTCTTTCTACACCTGCTGCAGGGCGGGGGCGGCACGCACAGCCCGATGAGCAAGACGCAGCAGTAAGGCCCTGGGGACGCACGCGCTGGAGCAAGGAGCCTCTCACGTGCTAAACCTGGACCAGACAGCCAGACTGCATGAGACCTCCCAGTGGGAGGCAACCGCAGGCCCACAGAGCTCCTCCAGATGACTGCTTCCGGGCCGATGATATGGGGACTTTCATACATCAACCCACCTACAACAATGGGGATGACCACTAATGATGCTCCTCCATCCTGCCCAGCATGGGACAACCCGGAGCTCTCCTTGTTCAGGGGTGAGTAACCAAACACACGAACGGGAGGCCTTGAGGCTCCACACCACAGCATCGCAGCCCTTCCCCACCTGGGCCCTGGGCTGCCATACTTGACTCGCAAGATAAATCAAGACCTCAGCTGGCCTTGAGAACAGGAAGTCTCCTATGCAGCCTCGAGCCAGACTCAGAGGCACAAGCAGGGCCCAGAATGTTCTTTACTCATCCCACTCATTGAAACCTCGCCCTCCTTCCCAGGCCCTGGGTGGCCCGTGGTGACACCACCCGTCCGGCCACCAGCACTCTCTACTTACCGCATGAACAGGGTTGCACTGGTCTATGGGGCTCTTAAAATCGGTTCTTAACTCATCAAAGGCAATTATCTGAAACAAAATACACAGAATTGAGACGTTAGTGCAAAGGTGAGTCAATACAACATGTCAAAAGCTTCCTGGGGACTTGCTTCAAAGTCACACAGGAAGCAGGAGGAGGGTGTCAATGACGCCGACCCGTCAGAAGTTGGTCGCTGTCGAAGCTGGCGATGGGCGCTTGGGTTGACTGCACTTTTCCACTCTGTGTTACTTTAAAAATCCCCAAAATAGGAAATGGGAGAGATCTTAAGGGTACATACTTGTAACTAGTAGATAAATAAGTCCCGGAAATCCAAATCACAGAACAGTGATTCTAGACAACAAAAATATTACAATAACAATTAAGAGAGTAGATCTTAATTGTTCCCAATGCTAGAAGAAATGATCATTAGGGGACCGCATGGAGGTGTTAGCTAAAGCTACAGTGGCAACCATATTGCAATAAAAATGTATCACCTTAAACTTACACAATATTGTATGTCAGATATTTCTTTTTTAAACCCCCCAAATAGAGTTGTTTAAATTTTCTGTGTTTTACAAAGACGATGGTGAGAGCAGGTTGGGGACTGGATAAAGGCACCAAAAAAATGCACTTTCAGCTGCTGTCGTTCTAGGAAGAAGCAGTTGATTTCTTCCTTTTGTTTATTTTGGCAGAGATGATGATTAGAGGTAAAATGGACAGAAGTCAGGAAAAAGGGAAGGAGGAAACAAGAAAAGCAGAGATAACAGTGACAGAAATAACCCCCTCTCCAGCTGTCCGCAGGCTGGATCACCAGCTCTGGACAGTCACGGATTCACACAGTCCGTTAGGTCAAGTTCATTCGGGACAGAGGCTCAGACTTCCCCCGGACAGCAGTGGTTTCCCTTAGTCCGGAGGGGAGAACGGTGAAGGTGACCTTTTCCAGTTACAGAATGAGGCGTGGCATACCCACAGGAAGAACTAACTACAGGTGAAACTCCCCAGCCCTGGCTACCTTGTCCCCGGGAGGGTGACTCAATGACAGAACAAGGTGGTATCTGGCCAGTGGACTGCACACACACTCCCCCCATGACTGCACATCCCGGGGGCCCCGAACACTTTGGCAGAATTGCTCAAGCAATGCAGCCAGTACACCACCCCTGAGTGTCCTTGTTCCCGAAACATAGGCTGAGAGTAAGTACCACGCGAGCGAAAACAACTTATTTCCCTCTACAAAGCAGGTATAATTTTAAAGCAGTCACATGTCATCCTGATTTCAATACTCCTGCAGAATTAGGAGAAAATTCTAGGATCGCTTGTATTCAATAGACACATTTCTATATCATCCCTTGCCAGGTAGTTAATTATCCAGCCTGTACTGAGCCCTTTAGTAACAGGAAAACTCATCACTCACTGCGGACGCTCGTTCCATTCTTGGCTACCTCTAATTAATCATTGTCTTCCTGTATTGAATTTACACATGACTCCCCGAGGTTCCACCCACAGTCTAAGCCAGGGGCAGCAAACCACAGCCTGCAGGCCAACCCTAACCTGCCACCCATTTTTGTACAACCTGTGAGCTAAAAAATGGTTTTCATACACTTTTTAAATCATTGAAAAATATCAAAAGAAGAAGAAGATTTTGTGACACGTAAAAAGTATATCATATTCAAGTTTCTGCTTCCGTAACACTTTATTGGAACACAGACCCATTCATTCTTTTCTGTGCCGTTCCTGGACACTTGCCCACGACAAAGGACAGGTGAGCAGCTGCAACAGACATCACGCAGCTTGCAAAGCCCAAAACAGTTACTATCCCGCCTTTTATAGAAAAAAAGTTGCCAGTCCTGGTCTATTCTTTTGCCCTCCAGAGCTGCACTGCCCAATAAGTTAGTCACATTTGGCTACGCACATTTAAATTTTAATTGGTTAAAATTAAATTTAAAATTTGGTTCCCACATTTTAATTGCTCAAAAACCACATCCGTCTGGTAGCTATTAAACGGCACAAACACCCTGGCCAGTCTGGCTCAGCAGTTGGAGCATCAGCCCGCGGACCAGAGAGACCCGGGTTTGGTTCCCGCTAAGGGCACGTACTTCGGTTGCAGTTTGCCCCCGGCCCCGACTGGGGTCCTGTGGGTGGCAGACACTTGATGTGTCTCTCTCACATCCATGTTTCTCTCTCTCTCTTCCTCCCTTTTTCCCTCCTGCTCTATCTGAAGATAAATGCAAAAAAAAATGTCCTTGGGTGAGAATTAAACAAAAAAAAAGGCACAGACATGAAACATCCATCATCCCGGAGGGCTCTAGCACACTGCACTGCTTTGGAGGGGCCACAGGGTGGGTCAAACCACTCTTCCAGACGGAAGCCCTCTACAGACCGTCAGCCATCACGATCCCGACAAATCCTTCTCCTCCAAGCTGAATCTCTCCAACCTTTATTTATATAAACTGGCACTAATTTGCTTCATCATCCTAACTGCCCTTTGACATTACAGGTTCATGTCTGTATCAAAATGTAACTGTCAGAACTAAGCACCATATTCAAAGTGAGGTCAGCTGGCACACAGAGTAAAAGGACCAGTCACCTCCTCTGTTCTGTAACCTATGCCTCTGTTAATGCAACCTGATAGCATTAGCTTTTTTGGGACCACATCACATTCCTGGCTTCGTACTGGCTTTGCATTGCCTAAAAGCCCTAGGTCTTTTTTAATGTGCTTGAGTTAAACTCAATCCACCTCATTCTGCATGCGCAATGTTAGATTTGGGGGCCTAAGAGCAGAAACTGACCTTTATTCCTTTCATTCTTCCCTATTCAGTTTGGCCCACTGGTCCAATCTGTTGAGATATGATCTATCTCCCAACCATAAATCCTAAGGAGCATAACGTCCTCAGTATCCTTATCCACATTCCTCCTGATATAAATGCCAAGTGAGGGCCGGCCAGTGTGGCTCAGTGGTTGAGCATCAATTCATGCACTTAAAGGTCGCCAGTTCAATCCCCGGTCAGGGCACATGCCCAGGTTGTGGGCCCAATCCCCAGTGGGGGGCATGCAAGAGGTGGCCAATTGATGTTCTCTCTCATTGATGTTTCTTGCTCTCCCTTTCCCTTCCTCTATCTCTAAAATCAATAAAGAAAAAAAATTTAATAGAAATAAAAATAAATGCCAAGTGAGCAGGACCATGGGCAGAGCTCCCATGTGGCTGGCATCTGCACCCCTTTGGCCTGTTATTTATCCGACTACAGAGACACATCACTATTTCTATCCAGTCACTGAAGCAAGTCTCTGGGGGGCTGTGAACCCTTCCTGTGGGCGCGCCGCAGATGAGCTCCACGAAGAGGATGGGAGCCCATGGAGGAAAGTCAAGCAGACATAGCTGTAGAGTTCCCAGGTCCAGTCCTGACCTGTGCCCGTGTCCCTGTGTAAGTGCTAGGAGGTGGGTCTGGACCGAAGCAGGGATCTGAGTCACCGAGCTAACAGGAGAGCGGGCCACCACTGCCCCCTCGGTCCTGCCCGGGAGGAAGCGGTGAAGAAGGAATGGCCCACAGTGTCACTTATGCCTTGGCGTCCATGAGAACACAGGCCCTTCACGGTGCTTCCTGATGATGGAGATGGGAAAGTGTACAGCGAGGATACAGGCTTTCGGCATCCCCCCCCCCCCCCCAGCAACCACTCACCACTCGACAGCCATTCAATGAGCATCTTTTGCACACAGGCTCTGGGCCAGGCCCTGCACAGACCCAAATCAACCACATATAGCTCCTGCCCTCGTCAACTTCCTGGTCCAGGGGGAGACAATGTGACAAGCGCTACTGTCAAGATGATTGCAACAACAGCCACTATGTATCACATGCTCACTGTGTCAGACACTGGGTTTCAGGCTGCACATGTTTTTTATTGTTTAATCCTTCAGCTGCCCCGAGGGGCAGGTACTACTACTGCTTCCACTTTAGAGATGAAGAAACTGAGGCCCAATGTGGTTAAATGACTTGCCCAAGATCATTGCTTTGGTTTCAGGAGCTAAACCAAGGCTTCTCACATCCTTGCGATGAGGACTAAATGAGATAATGTTAATAAAGCATTGGGTGCAATGGAAGTCACAATAAATATTATTACTGTCATTACTGCAGTTATTGGCACCGCACAGGTGTTTGGGCCTCACCTGTCCCAGGAGTGCATGGCTCTGGCCTCACGACTCTCCTCCCTCCCTGGCCTTCAGCACAGCCGTAGCAGCACGCAATCCAGGAACACCCCGGCACTTTAGGGGGAGAGCGGGGCGAGAGGATGCAGGGAGGAGCCAAGGACAGCACTGCCCTGCGAAAGCAGCCGACTGCCCTCTCACAGGTGGGAGATGGAGCCACAGATGCTGGGAAAGAGGCTGCGATCAGCAGGTGGGCTGCGGAGGGAGGCCTCAGCGGCCCCTGGACCAGTCCCGAGACCTGAATGATGAGGATGAATTGGGGGACACAGGGCACGGCTCATGTACCATTGTCTCTGCCAGAATCTGCAGACCCAGCTGGCTCTGACATCGCTTCCCTGCTCCCCGTCTAGTTAACAGAAAACGACGACGCCCCAGAGCCATGCACTCCTGGGACAGAAGCCAGGACAGCAGGAGACGGAGCAGGCCCAGCCAACGGGCCCCTGCTGACACTCAGGAGAGCATCCCAGACTGCAGCCATCCTGGTCAGGATAAACCCAAGAGGAGGGGACAGGAGAAGCTCACTCTGCTGACTTGGGTAGGGGAGAAAGGGGGCAGCCACTCTGAGGACTACAAGCAGTGAGGGAGGGGGAGGGGGAGGCAGCAGCCTGCAGCGTTCTGGGGCCTCCTGGTCCCACTCCAGCAGGCCACAGCCCCCTGTTCCACCAGCCCCAACTCAGCCAGCCCACCCAGCACCACGGCCTGCCACGCCGACAAGTCAGGAAGCTCAGGGCCTGCGGTTCCCAGAACTGCTCCCGGCCCTAGACTCCACCTTCCTCCGCCAAGCGTGTGTTTGCTCTGGCATCCTGGGTTCTCAAACATGAGCTTTCAGGAGCCATTTCTGGCTCAGGGTTT